TATGCTGCATTTTTTTCATATATACTACAGGGCCCAGAAAAAATATTAGGTGATAACTGAAAGCAAGAAAAACATACTGTATGTTTAATTTATACCCACTGTAATATTAAATTCTTTTTCACGTTCAAAGAAAATTTTGGTCAGGAAAATATATACTGCCTTAGTTAAGCAAATTTCTATTGTCTACTTGGGTCACTTGTTATTTCCATAAATATATGCACATATTTAATATATAACTAGCTTCCAGTGATGGGCAGTTTGCTTTATATACCTCTGTTAGTTCACTTATTTTATACTATTTAGTTGATCATAAAATCTCTGCTTTTTCCAAAGTATTACATAAACACATTTATTTATCTTGAGGCTGCTGCAAATATGATCACTCTTTCTTGGAACTGTTCTCATAACTCCTAAGAAAAGAGAGCAACATAAACAAAAGATCATTACCCTGCTGATAAGGTGCTGGTTCAAATGGTGGCGCAGCTCCTCGAGGATCCTGATAATAAACATCTGCCTGTTGTGCTGGATATAACTGAGAACCTCGTGGTACCATCTGAAGTGGTTTGGTGACAGGCATAGGAGGCAAATCTGTCGGCCCCCTTGGAGGTACAGGATGTGGATTCACAGGTAAGGCAGAAATACTCTTAGGGACAGATTCTAGCCTAAAGGAATAAGATTCTACAAGTCAAGTTTAAGGTCTCAAAAATACTTCTAATATACACAAATTACTAAATGTTCAAAAAAAAAAAAAAAAGCCTTAATTTGGGAATACGTTTTTTTCCCCCAATAGTCATTTCTTCTACAAATTTCATAAACTTTGATCTTATTTCACTTACGCTAATTATTTCTTAAAAATCACTAGCACAGGAAATAAAGAACAAAATAAAGCCAAAAATGAAGTGTGTTTTTTTGTTTTTTTTTAATAAAACACTGATTTTTCTTTCTTCCCTCTACTTCCCATACTAACTTTAAATAAAAGTTAGGAAAAATGACGTACAGGTCAGGAGGGGATCCAGGGGCACTACTGCTCAGATGATCTATCTTTCCTGGCTTGAGGCTAGAATCGTAGGTGGCGTCTGTCCCTCGGGGAATCAGCTGTGTTACCGTATTCCCTGCTGATACAATTCCATTTGGCAGAGCAGGGGTTTTTCTGCTAGGCAGATCCACTGCACCTTCATCTGGAAGGACAGCTGCTGAAGGAAGGCCCACCTCATTAAGCTGACCCAAAGAGGCACTGAGGGGTCTTCTGGGAACTAGGCGTTTGTTCATTTTACGAAACCTATTATATAGAAAGCAAAGTCACACACCAAAACCCAAAATTATAAAAGCAAAACCAAGAACTAAAATGTATTTGAAAAACAGATACAAAGGAAAAGCTACTACGAATATTACTTTCTAGAAATTCTCTTGAAACACTGGTTGTAGCTATCAACTTGAAAACTTGTGTGTGTAGACACTACAAAATCTCAGGCAACACACTAAGTATAAAACTCCTTATAATGAGTATTTGTTAACACTACAAATCATGCTAATTAATATCTGCATTATAACCTATTTTTACTGTAATTTCTATTTCTGAAACACTGGAGGGGGGAGAAACATCTTTAGAAGACAGTTTCTGAAATATCTTACTTTAGCTTTCCCTCAAATGCCTTAGGATACAGTTAGCCTATATTATAAATTAACAATAGAACAAAAAGCCAGTGTGCAGAGAAAAATTTACCATTTATTCCATTAAAAATTTTAAATTAAGAATAGTACTTTGTATTAGATATGATTCAGAGATGCTGATGCTATGTGTGCCCACCCAAAATTAAAATTATTTTAAAAGTGGATTAATATATACAATACAGAATAATGCCTAAATTTAAACAGACATTGCAGTATAAAACGCATGTAGACTCTAAATCTAACCACAGGAATAATATTAAGCCATCGACTCTATTACCCGTGCTCCTCAACAGTGAAAGCAAATCTATTTACACCTGCTAGGACACTTTAAAAAATAATCTCAAAGACAACCCCCCATAAGAATAATGCTATTTTCCCGAATGTTTCCCATATTTGACAAATTTCAGAGGGGCGGAGAGGAGACACTACTCCTTAGGTGTAACCACTGTTAACAGTCTGGTACATAATCATACAGATTTTCCCCTCCATACCATGCCTTAATATTAAGATGAATGTAAGACTATTATTAACAGAAATAGGGTCATATATGACTGCTTAGTAACTTCTCCTTCTACTTTGTAACTTGGATATTCCTTTATGTCTGTACATTTTAAGTTGTTTCTAGTTTTTTTCTATTAAAACAATGCAGTAACAGATGCTTATGTACATGTACTTGCATCCTTGTGTGACTAAATGACTAACCAGAAGCAGAACTGTAAGTCTAATGTATGCACATTAGAAATTCTTACAGTGCTCTAAAACTTATTCTAATTCCTAATGATAATAAATGTCCTTTTCCCTTATCTCATCAAACACTAGGTAGTATCACCGTCCATCTTAATTTCTAAGTTCAAAATATCATTTTTTAAAAAGATTTTAGAGAAGGCATGCACAACACACATGCACATGCATGCACGGAGGCGGGATGGAGGGTGGGGTGGAGGGATTAGCAGACTCCGGCAGAGCGGGGAGCCTGATACCCCAGCCCCTCCATTTCAGGACCCTGAAATCATGACCTGAGCGGAAAACAAGAGTCCTATGCTTCAATGACTGAGCCACACAGGTGCCCCTGAAAATATCATTTTGTTTTAATTTGTATTTAACAATCAATGAAGTTGACATTGTTTTACTTTTTTTTTTTTAAATTCTTCTGTAAATTGCCTATTTGTTCATGATCTGTATTATTTACTGGTTCTTCTTACAGATTTGTAGTTTATATTAGGGATGTCAGTCCTCTGTATGTCATTTCCCCACCAATCTTTTTTTTTGTAATTGTGGTGTTTGGGCCACATCTTAGATTTTTTATGTAATCATATTTATCAATCTTCTCCTTTACGGATGCTGGGTTGTCTTTCAAAAATTCTTTACTATTATAAGATTAAGTAACAACAGAAAAGATCTCTAAGTACAGTTTCCTTCTTAAAGATTTGAATCTCTAATGCATTTATAATTCATTTTGATATAAAGGTTAAGAACTGAGTTCTAATTATTTTTCAAATGGATAGCAGTTGTTTCAATGTTGTCTTCTTTGTTACTGAGCTGAAATACCACCTTCAGCACAACACTCAGTTCCTATTGTGTCTGGCATTCTTTCTAGATTTTCCACTGTATTTCACTGATCTATCCGTTCCTATGCTAATACCACAGTCTTTATGCACAATGCAGCTCATAATACACCTTAATAGTTGTTAGTGTAATCCGTTGAAAACTTATTTTTTCAGAAATTTTCTGGCCATTTGTACGTATTTACTTTCCCCAGTTAAGGATTTTGTTAGGTCCTAACAATCATCATGTTAAGATTCTAACTGAGATTTCACTGAATTTACTGTTTAAGAGAAGATAAAACCTATATAATGGTAAGTCTTCTCCAAGAACACAGTATGCGTCTTCGTTTATTCAGTTCTTCGCTTATGTGCGTAGGTAGCTTACTAATTCAATCCTCAATAGTTCTTGTTACTTTATTATTTGGTATTTATCTTTTTTGTTGTTGTTGGTAATGCCAAAGAGATCTTTATTTTCCTTTATAACTGGTTATGTTTCCCTTTTTAGTTCATGAGAACAATTCATTTCTGTAAAGTAGTATTTTTGATTTGCTAAAATTTTCATTTCTTTTGTTTCTAGTACTTCTTGAATTTTTCCATGTAATGATTTTATGATGATTTTATTCTTTGGTATGTACAGTGGCTACTGCTCCTAGAATGTTCAATAATAGTCTCACTACTGCTAAATTTTGCCTTACTGTCAACTTCAATGATACTGAATCTACTATTTTACGAATTGAGCATCATGCAGTCATACTAGCTTTTGAGAAACAACTATGTTGAGCAAGTGTCTACGACAGCTTTCTTCTGTTAAAGAATTTTGATCTATTATGAACATCTGATTTTACTCAAATGCCTTTTGGCATCTTTGCATATGATCACATGGTATTTCCTCTCTAACCCTAAAGTAATTATATTGTGTTACCTTTGCACTTCATGGTGTCTACTTTACTGAATGCTAGTATTTGGGATTTTTAAAATATTAATATGTGAGATGGATTTGTATTTTCTTTAATTGTGCTATCTTTGTCAAGTTTGGGGGCAATGTTACACTGGCTTTATAAAAAAAATTAAGAGGTTTTCTTTTCTTTCTACTATGGAAAATTTAACACTGGAATTATCTGATCTTTGAAATTTATTTATTATTTATTTTAAAGATTTTATTTATTTAGTTAGTT